GGCTGTGGTAGCGAGAATCCCCTGCTGCTCCCTCCAGAAAGGGCCTCACCTCCCTGCGATCCTGTGGAAGGGCGGGCAGCGAGCACATGAAATAAGGTCATGAATTTGTCATGAAGGCCTGGAAATGAGCGGGACTCATCATTTATGGATGGAATCATTAAGCCCTGAGCTCGGCGCTTCACTGAGGCCTGCACCCAGACACCAGGCGTCGCCAGCCGCTGAGCCAGGGACCGGTGTGGGTCTTCGCCATCACCCTCCACACTCCAGCGTCTCCAACGAGCCCCATGCGAACAGCAATTGTAATGGCCCTGCCCGGCCAGTCCCAGTGAGACCTCTCTCACAGGTCTGCGCTGAGGGTGCCCAGCCCCCTAGATCAGCGGTTCTCAGCCTGTGGGGGTCGAACGACCCTTTCACAGGGGTTGCCTAAGACCATCAGAAAACACATATATAATTACATATTGTTTTTGTGATTAATCACTCTGCTTTCATTATTTTCAATTTGTAACAATGAAAATACATCCTGCATATCAGATATTTACGTGACGATTCATAACAGTAGCAACGTTACAGTTATGAAGTAGCAACGAAAATAATTTCATGGTTGGGGGTCACCACAACATGAGGAACTGTATTAAAGGGTCGCAGCATTAGGAAGGTTGAGAACCACTGCCCTAGATGGAGGTGCGGGCCTGCCTTCTCTTTAGGATGCAAAGAGGCCCCCTCATAAGGTAGGAAGTGTGAGAAATTCGGATTAACTTGGGTTTGAATCTCGGCTCTTTCGGGCTGCAGCTGTGTGCTTCTGGGCTAGTCACTTCACCTCTCTGAGCCTTGGTTTTCTGCTCTTAAAAAATGGGCAAAATGATACATTTCATGGTTATCTGGTGGATCAAATTAAATAACTACCAAGTCCAGAGTCAGGGTCTGGCTTATAGTAAGTGCCCCACAAATCCAGCATTTCATTCCTCACTCCCATCAGAGGCTCAGAGAGGCAAAGGGACTTGACAGCAAGTGAGCAAAAAGTGGGCATCCACTTCCTCCCCCTGGGATTCCCTGTCACTATCGCTTGTGGGCGGGCTCAGCCCATCCCCCAACAAAACCTTGAGGCAGCTGCCTGCAGGAGGTGGAGAGGAGGATGAGGAAGTGACCGTGGCCACGAGCGATTTCGGAGCTCCGCCAGTGGCCAGGCCGTCCTGGGTGCTCTGCAGTTACGATTTCACTTTAATCTCCAGACAACCCTCGTCGTCGGGAACCACTATCATTCTTCCCACTTTAGAGGTGAGGAAACTGAGACTCACACTCCGACCCTTGACTTGGGTCAGGCAGCCGGGAAGTGGAACTTGTGTGTGATTTTCTGGGTCCCTGCAAGGCCAGGCTTGGGGAGGGTGGCAAGTTAAAGACTGTTTGGGCTCTGAAAGCTGTCACTTGACTCAGCCAGCACCTTCCAGAATTTCAGCTTTCATATTCCATGTTGTTGAATGGGTTCAAACCCGTGTTTTACAGATGGGAAGACTGAGGCCTGTCCATTGGTGGTGGACACCGTGGCTTGCACATCTAGAGAGGCCTCTGGCACCTGCCTTGGGGAGGAGCCTGCATCTTCCTCCACTCCCTACCCCACCCACCCTCTATCACCATGGCAACCATGCAGGTGAGCCTCGTCACTGCTAATCCTCTAATTACCAGCCACCTCTTCAATCGGCTGTAATTACTTTGGGGACACAGTTAACCTCTCATTAGGAACGCACGGCCGCTTTCTCCAAAAGCGCAGCGGTGACATGCCTAGTAATTTACCGCCCCGGCTCACGGGCCGCTTTGTGTCTAACTCGGGCGCCATCCCATCCCTGTCATTACTCCAGCCCGGTTGTCATGACGATTAATCATTCAATCCCTCATCAGCAACTTTTGCCAAATGTCACCCCACTCGTGATCAAAATCCATCCTGCAGCCTGACGCTGGGGGACTAATGACTTGGAAATAGGCTTCTCCATTCCCAAGAGCTTTTTCCCACGACTTCTCAGCTTCCTCCAGGAAAAGGAAAGGAGGGACTTGCAGGGTGGTGGGCGGGGGGGCGGGGGGGGGGATGGCATGTATGGGTGCTTCCTCTGTGCTAGGCACCTGAGGGGCATGGATGCCTTTAACCCACCACAGCCCGCTTCCTAGGAGGGGGTACTGAGGCTGAGGGAAGACGGCAGGTCGTCCGCCAGGGAAGTGTAGCGAGGTTCTCACTCACACCTGTCTGGCTCCAAAGCTGAGCTTTTTGATAAAACAACACCACCCCAACCTCAAGGACAAGGAGCGTCACCGACTAGAACAGCGGTTCTCAACCTGTGGGTCACGACCCCTTTGGGGGTCAAACGACCCTTTCACAGGGGTCACCTAAATACATCCTGCATATCAGATATTTACATTACGATTCATAACAGTAGCAAAATTACAGTTATGAAGTAGCAACGAAAATAATTTTATGGTTGGGGGTCACCACAACATGAGGAACTGTATTAAAGGGTCGCGGCATTAGGAAGGTTGAGAACCACTGAACTTGAAGGATCCTTGGATGTCGTGTGGGCAGCGTGTAGAAACGAGCTGGCCCGTCAAGTTCAGGGCAAAAGGCCGTCAGGGACAAACCTGGGCACGTCATGAGAAGGAGCCCATCCCAGCGTGAGCACCTGTGTCCCGAGCACACCTCCCTCAGCACTGCCTGCTCAGCAGCCTCCAGGACAGCAGCCTCGGGACGCAGGCGGAGAAACAGGCTGACCGCGGGCAGTAGGTCCAGGGGCCGATCCGGACTGAGAGGAGCCTTGTGATGGGACGCGGTGGCCCGCGAGCCTCTGAGAATTCGCACGTTGTGATGGGATGCGTGTGCGTGTTTCTAGGGAGACGCACGGAAAAGGCTAAGAACTTCTCCAGTGCACTTCTCCGCTTTTCCTGCATCCCTGTTTGCAGAAGGAACACCGAGGCCCAGAGAAGAGCCATGACTTCCCGGAGTTGCACAGCCGTTCAGGATGGTGCCACTGGCCCAGGCAGGGGTGAGTCTTTCTAGGCGTCCAGGGCAGCCAAGAAGGGCTGTTGGAGGGGAGGAATTCTACCCCCTGCCAATGGCTTCCAACCCCCTCGCCCAGCCCCCACCTGCTAACGGAACCTTTCCCAGGCCTCTCCCAGGGACGGTCCTGCTGGCTGGGCCGCAGCATGTGGGAGACATCATCACGGCACGTTGTAAATGGCATTAACAGACTGTCACAGCAGCCGCATGGCATTAGCTAGCGGCTCTGTCTTCATCAGGCCGTCCCCGCAGCCCCGGCTCAGCCCTTCCCAAGGGTCTTCTTCCCGGGCCGGGCTGCGGAAGTCTCCTGGCCGGGAGGGGGTGGGCAGGAGCTGTCTCCGCGGTGAGCTGGGTAGAAGTTAGGAAATCTGATTTGTAAACGTGGTCGGCCTCAAAGAATTCGCCTTCGGCAGGCAGCTACTTATGTGCCCGGCATTCTCACTTAACCCTCATAACCGCAACCTAAAACAGCGTGTTCTTCACTGGTCTGTGGGTGAGCTGTCGGGGGCTGAGAGGGGCAAGGTGGCTGCCCCAGTCCCTTCACCTAACAAGAGGCAGTTGTAGGACTCACACCAAGTCCTGCGTTTCCATAGATCATGTTGCCTTCTTGGAAAAGTCTTTGATCCATTTTCTGCCCGAGATACTATAGCCTTGAAGGTGATTCCCTAAAGCTACCAGCCCACCGGAAAGTTACCAGTCCCTGAGCTCTGCTTAGCGGGACTTCCAACATAGTAATAACCAATATTATAACAAATATTGGGTGTTTCCATGCCATTTCTCCTATGGTCTGGGTAGCAAACCCATGAGGGAACGAGGACCAATTCATCTTATTTGAGACAGTTGAGAACTAAGGCCCCGAGGGGGATGCCACTTGCCCAAGCTGCCCAGCAAGTCTGCGCTGGAGCCAGAATTAACTCCCGGTCTCCTTCCCAGTCCTGGTCCTTTTCCAGGAGCCACGGAGAAAGGTGCATAGGCCTGCAGCAAGGGGACTGAGCAGGGCATTCCCTCTTCCGGGTGCCTTCTGCCCTCCCACTGCCCGTGGGCACGGCTGATTGATGCTTCACCCGGAGGCCTCCAGGCTGCAGGCAGCCGGATGGGCTGCCCCCGACTGGTAAGCAAATCCCCTGCTGAGCAGGTCATATTTTATCCGGCGCCACCTGCCAGCTCATTTGCTTACAGATACAGGTGCTTCATCAGGGAGGGATTAGCAGTTACTCAGCCCAGAGACCCTGGCAGAGAGCGAGCAAGCCGGGCCATAGCTGGGTGGGAAGCCAGGAGCCTGTCTGTGAGGTCTCCATCTCCTCCCAGGCCCTGGCCCTGGAACCGAGGGTAGGGATAAGGATAGAAGGAAGGACCTCTCTGTGTAGCTGACTTTCCACTCCCAACCCCTTGTCTTCTACCAGTTCTCCAAGGCTTGGTCCCAACCCCCTCTCCCCTGCAGCCTCCAAGATTTCCCACTTGCCCTGCAAAAGCAATGATGGAGAACAGGAACAGCCCCAGAGGGTTGCTTGGTGCCTGATGATTTCTACACATCGCCCCATTCATCCAAATCAACTAGTAGTTGGCATTTTAAAACCCCCATTTTACAGATGAAGAAACTGAAGCCCAGAAAGCCAATTGCTCAAGGTTAGAAATCCCTTCCTAACCAGGGCGCAGTGCATCCCCCAGGCTGGTCCTTGGCTTGCTTGAAGTTTTATTTACTCATTTATCTATTTACTTTTTAACTTATTTTTTTTTCTGTCTGGTACAATTTCACTCAATTTGTCCTGGTCATCAAAAGGCAGTTTAGCCCTGGCTGGTTTGGCTCAGTGGATAGAGTGTCAGCCTGTGGACTGAAGGGTCCCAGGTTCGATTCCAGCCAGAGGCACATGCCCGGATTGCAGGCTCTATCCCCGCCAGTAGGGGGCATGCAGGAGGCAGCCAATGGATGATTCTCTGTCATCACTGATGTTTCTCTCTGTCGCTCTCCCTTCCTCTCTGAAATCAATAAAAATATATATATTTTTTAAAGGCAGTTTATTCTAGGGAGGTCTGGTGACAATTAGAGCAGTACTTAGCTCAATTTGTGTATCAGCCTCCCAATTTAAAATAATTTAAAATCTCAGAACAACCTTAGACTTACAGAAAAAATACATATGTGGTACATTTGTCACAACTAATGAACCAATATTGATACATTATTGTTAACTAAAGTGTTTTTTAAAAATATATTTTTATTGATTTCAGACAGGGCGTGAGAGATAGAAACATCAATGATGAGAGAGAACCATTGATTGGTTGCCTCCTGCACGCCCCCTACTGGGGACCGAGCCCCCAGCCCAGGCATGTGCCCTTGATCAGAATCGAACCCGGGACCTTTTAGTCCGCAGGCCGACGCTCTATCCACTGAGCCAAACCAGCCAGGGCTAAAGTCTGTTCTTTATTCAGATTCCTCTTTTTACCTAATGTCTCTTTTCTGTTCCAGGATCCCAAATTACACGTAGTCATCACTTCTTGGGCTCCTCTTGTCTGGGACAGTTTCTCGGGCTTTTCCTGGACAGCTGTGAGAGGTACTGTGAGGTGCTGTGCAGAACATCCTTTAGCTGAGATTTGTCTGATACTTTTCTCATTAAACGGAGGCTGTGTGTTTTGGGGAAGTAGACCACAGAGGTAAGTGCCATTTCCATGCTGTCACCTCGGGCACGCATCCTGTCTGACATGTCAGTGTTGCTCTGCCCTTGAGCTCGGGGCTGGGTGGCATTTGCCAGGCTTCTCCCTGTAGAGTTGCTTTCTCTCTCGCGCCATCCTGTCCTCTTTACAAGGAAGTCATATGCACAGCCCACTCCTAAGGAGGGGAGTGACGCCACCCCCCTTGAGGGCAGAGTAGCTACAAAAACTATTCAGGGCCCTTCTGCACCAGAGACTTGTGTGTCCCCCCTTTTTCTTTATTCCGCCATTTGTCACGTCAGTATGGACTCGTGGATGTGTATTCTGTGCTTCGGCTTATAATCCAGTGCTGCTCTGTGCTTTTTAAATGACACACTTGGTCTTTCTTCCTTGGTTTGTCAGCATTCCCCCAAATCTCTTCTGAGACGGCCTCATTCCATGGGATTTTAACAGGCAACCTTCTTAAACTGGGTTCTAGAGGCATGTCACTTGCGTAAGTGGTTGAAAAGGATCGAAACGAGATCTTGACCGCTGGACCTTTCAGATCTCCTGATGTGGTGATGTGAGCAGGGGGCGGGGGGCACATAGGCACCACGTCCCACCTTTCCTTCTCACACCCTGGGGGGCGGGGCGGGTGGGGAAGACACGTGAGGAAATGATGTGTGTGTCTCATCTTTCCTGGAGACCAGAAGCTCTTAGAGCAAAGGTTCTGCTCTATTCTCCACTTTTCTCTAGAAATCGGCACTGAGAAGGTGCTGAGGAAAAGTAGTTGGACAGGCGGGGAATGGAAGATGAAAGGGTGGGTAGATGGACAGAGGGGTGGGCAAGACGGTACATGGATAGATACAAGACACAAGGACTTGGTGGGTGGATGGATGGATGGGTGGATGGAT